AAATTAATTCAGTTTAAGAAACTGTACACTAAGAGCATTATTTTGTCCTGAAGAAGATTTTTGGCATGTAATAAATTATGCACAAATCTTTGAGATTAAAAAAAAACATTGTTCCTCACAAAAACTTATTACACAAATGTTCAGAGTGGCACTATTCATAATAGCCAAAAAGTAGAAAGAACCTAAATCTCCATCAGCTGATGAATGAACAAACAAAATGTGGTATGTTCATATAATGGAATAGTATTGATAACAAAGAACAAGGTACTGATACATGTTGCAACATGTATTTTTTTTTTTTTTTTTTGAGACAGAGTCTCGCTTTGTTGCCCAGGCTAGAGTGAGTGCCGTGGCGTCAGCCTAGCTCACAGCAACCTCACACTCCTGGCTAAAGCAATCCTCCTGCCTCAGCCTCCCAAGTAGCTGGGACTACAGGCATTCGCCACCATGCTCGGCTATTTTTTTGTATATATATTAGTTGGCCAATTAATTTCTTTCTATTTATAGTAGAGACGGGGTCTCGCTCTTGCTCAGGCTGGTTTCGAACTCCTGACCTCGAGCAATCCGCCCGCCTCGGCCTCCCAGAGAGCTAGGATTACAGGCGTGAGCCACCGCGCCCGGCCTTTTTTTTTTTTTTGAGACAGAGTCTCACTCGGTTGCCTGGGCTAGAGTGCCATGGTGTCAGCCTAGCTCACAGCAACCTCAAACTCCAGGGCTCAAGTGATCCTCCTGCCTCAGCCTCACAAGTAGCTGGGACTACAGGCATGCGCCACCATGCGTGGCTAATTTTTTCTATATATTTTTTTAGTTGGCTAATAACAGGGTCTCGCTCTTGCTCAGGCTGGTTTCGAACTTCTGACCTTTAGCCATCCGCCTGCCTCGGCCTCCCAGAGAGCTAGGATTATAGGGGTGAGCCACCGTGCCAGGCCTACAACATGTATCTTGAAGCTTGAAAATATTCTGTCTAGTGAAAGAAGCCTGCCATAAAAGGCCACATATAGTTTGATTCCATTTATATGAAATGATCAGAAGAGGCATATCTGTAGGGACAGAAGGTAAATTTACTGATTGCTAGGAATTAGGGGTAGGGGAAATGGGGAGTGATTGCTAATGAGTATCGAGTATTTTAGGGAGGAGGTGAAGAAATGTTCTAAAATTAGATAATGGCCATGGTAGCACAGCTCTGTGAATATACTAAAACCTTTTAAAGAGTTAATTTTATGTTATGTGAATTATCTCAATATAGATGCTTTTTTTAAAAAAAAAACAATAAGAACAAGCTTTGGTGAAAGCTTGTTAAATAATAAGTTAAAATAAGAGCTATTTTAAATATCTCATAAATGAGATATCTCATAAATGAGATATTTAAAATATCTCACCCGAATCCCTGGTGAACACCACCACCCTTTGAGCACCATAGTGTTAATCAGTCTGTACCAATTTGATGGTGAGTGTATGTGAAGCCCATTATTCTGATCTTGTGTCACCTCACTTTGGATAATGGGCTTAAGCTCATTCCAGGATAATATAAGCGGCGCTAGCTCGCTCGCTCGCTGTTGTTTCTTAGAATTGAGTAATATTCCATTGTAAACATGCCAGATTTTAACAATCCACTCATGAACTAACGGGCACTTGGGTTGTTTCCACGTCCTTGCAATAGTGAATTGTGCTGCCATAAACATGAGATATTTGCCTCTTTTCAGGTTACTGAAGATAAATATAACATTCTTGTAACACTGTAAATGTGAAAATTTTACAGCTAATAAGAGGCTTTTCCTTCAGTGTAAACAACAATGTAATTTAGATTTTTTTAAATATAATAAGTGTTTCCTGTCAAAAGTCTTAATATGTTGGAGGTACAGTTGACCCTTGAACAATGCGGGGGGGTTAGGAGCACCGAACCCTGTCCAGTCAAAAATCTGAGTATAACTTTTGACTTTCCGTAAACTTAACTGTTAATAGCATATTATTAACCAGAAGCCTTACCAATAATGTAAAGAGTCAACTTAAATTTCATATGACATATATATTATATACTGTATTACAATTTAAGCTAGAGAGAACATTAAGAAAATAACAAGAAGGCCGGGCACGGTGGCTCACGCCTGTAATCCTAGCACTTTGGGAGGCCGAGGCGGGCAGATTGCTCAAGGTCAGGAGTTCGAAACCAGCCTGAGCGAGACCCCGTCTCTACCAAAAATAGAAATAAATTAATTGACCAACTAAAAATATATATACAAAAAATTAGCCGGGCATGGTGGCGCATGCCTGTAGTCCCAGCTACTCGGGAGGCTGAGGCAGAAGGATTGCTGAGCCCGGGAGATTGAGGTTGCTGTGAGCCAGGCTGACGCCACGGCACTCAATCTAGCCTGGGCAACAAAGCGAGACTCTGTCTCAAAAAAAAAAAAAAAAAAAAAAAAAATATATATATACAAAAAATTAGCCGGGCATGGTGGCGCATGCCTGTAGTCCCAGCTACTCGGGAGGCTGAGGCAGTAGGATTGCTGAGCCCGGGAGATTGAGGTTGCTGTGAGCCAGGCTGACGCCACGGCACTCAATCTAGCCTGGGCAACAAAGTGAGACTCTGTCTCAAAAAAAAAAAAAAAGAAAAGAAAATAACAAGAGAAAATATATTTATTAAGTGGAAGTGGATTATCATAAAGGCATTCATCCTTGTCATCTGTACATTGAGGAGGCTGGCGGGGAGGAGGGTGGTCTTGCTGTCTCAAGGGTGGCAGAGGCAGAAGAGGTAGAGGATGTGGAGCGGGAGGCAGCAGAGGCAGGCACATTTGGTGCAACTTGCCTTGGAAAAGATCTGTGTGTAAGTGGACCTGTGCATTCTAACGTGGTGTTCAAGGGTCACCTGTATTTTCATCAATTTTATTTGCTTAATAAAACATAGTGAAAATTATCTTTTAAATAGTATTATATTTTATTGAAAATAAATATTCACAGTTATGATCACGGCACTCACTCTAGCCTGGGCAACAAAGCGAGACTCTGTCTCAAAGTAAATAAATAAATAAATAAATAAAAGAATAAGAAGACATGAGAAAAGAGGAAAGACATCAGTGGAGACCTTGAGGGCCTTTTATTCTGAAGGGGATGGGATAGGGGAATTGAATTTTTAACACAAGGGCTTGATCAGATTTTAATTGAAAAAGGTAACTATGATAGCAATGTGGAACGGGTATCCAAAGTGTGTATTGGGGTAGAGACTGGAGGCAAGGAGAACAGTTAGGATGCTAATGAAATAATCTGGATGAAATGTGAGTGTGAGAAAGACCTGGGATAGTGGCACTAAGAAGAGATAGTACAGGAAGCAAATTTAGTGTGTTTACTGTGTAGAGCTTGCCTAAAACAACTTTTTTGAGGATTCCCCCTCCAGATAATTTTATTAGAATGTTATAATAAAATCATATATATAAAATGTTATAGTAAAATATAACATTTTAATAAAAATATCTTAAAACATAATGCTCAGTATGAATTTCCTATATTCTTAAAGGACTATGAAATTAAAGTTTACATATTAAATATGGAAAAATATAAACTAATAAAAGTAATATCTATGTGGTGCATGATTTTTATTTTTTGCAAGTTAAATCACCTCTTGAAACATAAATGTAGGACTAACTGCCACAGTTTAGTTTCTTTTAAATTTGGCATGTCTGTACTAACTGCTGTGTTCCATATGTCTCAATTCTCTCACCACTTTACTAGAATTTTTGAGAGACCTTTGTTCATTTTTTGACTAATGTCATTTAGCTTTCATGTGGCCAGAAAGAATAATTTGTTATCTATTTCTGTCCCATTTGCTTAAGACAAAGTACTATTATTTGGTGCTAACAAGATCATAAATAAAACACAGGCTCTGAACTCACGTGGTGGTACTTATTTATAAGTGGGAATCAAGGTGATTGGGACTATGCTTACAATATTATAGATTACTGAAATCACAAAATGGAAAAAATATTCCTGTAGAGAATTCAAAGAATCTAGTTTGAAAAACACTGATGTAGATAGAGGTTATTTAAAAATCTTTTTGTCACATTCCTAAAGTGAAATTTGTTGAGTATGACAAATAGAGTCAAGCAATGCGAGGCAAATAGGACACATAAATATGAACCTGATTCTACATGGAAGTAAAAGGATAAAGGCTGTAAAGGGTTTAGATACTCATCTATGGAAAAGGACAATTTCGCAGGATTCTTCTTTTCCTTTTGTTCCTAAAGCAAGTATGCACTCTGTAAAATTTTCATGAGTTTTATTTCTGGAAGTAGAACTTTAGTGTTTATATATGATTATAAGCATGCAGATGGCAGTATAAAGGTCAGTGAAAAAGTGGGTAAAGGGTTAAAGAACTCTGATTTGATCCTGGTTTTCTTCATCCTATGACCTCCATCCCCCCACTCCCACCTAAAAAATTAGACTCAGTAGAAAAAGTCACAAGATTGTACTATTTTTTAAGAAAAATTAAAAATGATCATAGTAATAGTTTCTTTGATGTAACAAATTAGCACAAACTTAGTGGCTTAAAAGCATCCCAGCTATCTTACAGATCTGGAGGCCAAAAGTCTGAAATGGGTTTCACTGGGCTAAAATGAAGTTGTCAGCAGGGCTGCATTTCTTTCTGGAAATTTTAGGGCAGCATCTGTTTTCTTGCCCTTTCTAGCTTCTGGAGGTGACAACATTCATTAGCTCATGACCCCTTTCCATCTTCAAAGCCAGAAAATGGCTGGTTGAGTCTTCCTCACATCTCATCACTCTGACACTCTTCTGCATCCACCTTTCACTTTTAAGGACCCTTGTGATTACATCGGGCCCACCCAGATAGTCTGGGATAATCTCCCCAGCGCAAGGCTAGAAGATTAGCAGCCTTAATTCTACTTTGCCATGCGTCTTAATCTGTTTATAAAGTAATACCTGAAGCTATAAAATAATAACCTGAGGCTATATAATTTATAAACAAAGAGGTTTATTTGACTTGGATTCTGCAGGCTACACAGAAGCATGGTGTTGGCGTCTGCCTCTGGTGAGGGCCTCATGCTGCTTCCACTTATGGTGGACGGGAAAGGGGAACCAGTGTATGCAGAGATCACATGGTGAGCGATGAGGCAAGTGAGGAGGGATGGAGGGGAAGTGCCATGCTTGCTTTTAAACAACTTGCTCTTGTCGGAACTAATAGAGAACTCACCCCTGAGAAAGGGCATTAATCTATTCATGAGGGATCTGCCCCCATGACCCAGACACCTCCCATTAGGCCCCACTTCAAACATTGGGGACCAAATTTCAGCATGCGATTTGGAGGGGGACAGACATAAAAACTATATCACTATGTAATGTATTCACAAGTTCCAGAAACTGGGATATGGACATCTTTGGTAAGGTGGACAGAGGAGGATATTATTCTGGCTATTAAGCTATTTGCAATTTATTGGGTTCTCTTGAGTTTAAGAACAACTTCCTCTCTTTCCTCTAGCTCATTCCCACTTTATTCATTCAAAAAATACTTGGCCACCTACTCAACATATCTACTGTCAAATGGTACAGAAAATTCAAATACACTAAGGATTAGGAAGAAGTCTTGGTTTTGTCAACTAAATTTTGTTGTTGATAACTCAAGACTTTCACTGTGGTAGTATTGACATATTTTAAATTTAAGTAGGTTTAAGAGTGAATGAAAGGTGCAAAATGGAGAGCTTGGCCATCTATGAGTATTAGAGTATTACCCTAGAGGATGTTTTTTAATAATGGGAGGTATTTTAGTGAGAGAGATGAGATAGAGGACAGGGATTCATGGATGGAGCCAGTTTCATCAAGAGGTGTGAGGCTCTAGGTTAAAAAAAAACACACAGAATACTTGATTTTGAAAAAGGGGAAGACCCATTAGAGACTAGGGAAAAGATTGGAATGGGTAAAAATGAAGATAAATTTTTGGTAGGGGTAGGCGGAAAGTTAACTATTCATACTTGATATTCTCAACTTTCTCAGTAAAATAGGAAGGAGAGCTGTATGATCATATTTAGGGGCATGACAAAAGTAGAGGGAGAATGAACAACTAACCAAAGAAAAGAAAAAAGGGCCTATTAAGGTCCTAAGATAGGAGATCATGAGTTTATAGAGGCATTTTCCCCTGTGTTGTATGATTCCTGCCTGCCCCCCACCCCCCCCAGCATTTGGTGGCCTTAAATGTATGGGGTGTGTGTTTCATATCCATAGGGTTTGTTAATAGAGACTTGCATTGCTAATGAATGTGTGAATAAGTATATAAAATTAGTGCTTTTAAAAGATACACTTAGTACATTATATTGGTACTTTTTTTTTAGTGTAAAATAAACAACTCTTATAAAAAAAAATCTTGTTCCCATCTCAAGAAACTCAAATGAGCAAGGTGCAGTGGCTTGCACCTACAATCCCAGTTACTCAAGAGGCTAAGGCGGGAGGATCACTTGAGGCCAAGAGTTTGAAACCAGCCTGAGCAATACAGCGAGACTCCATCTCAAAAAAAGAAAAAATTCAAATGACAGAAGAAAAGTTCATATGCCAAATGAGAATGAGAGGGGAGTGCAGAAATAAAGGGATGAGAGAGGCATTTAAAATTTAATTAATATTCATTCTGTAGATAGTTATTGAGCATCTACTGTATAATCAGGCTTTGAGTTGGGCATTGTGGATAAAACTTAGATGCTTTTCATACTTTGGTTTTTTTCCCTAAGAGTCCTTAGTCTGTAAAATTCAGCTTTCTGGGTTGGAGGCCAAAACCTTTCCCACTCAGATTCTTTCTCTTTCCCTCCATCTCCAGTCCCCACTCCCACTCAGGATACCCCTGATGGATCTGTGTACGCCCCCAGTGTTTACTCAGCACAGTGTGAAAAACCAACAGTCTAAGGAATATTAATATTTGAAGTTATAATGAGGACACCTCATTATAAGAGTAATAGTCATACGTAAAACAAATACAGTCAGCCCTCAGCATCTGTGAGTTCCGAATCCCTGGATTCAACCAACCACAGATCAAAAATTTAAAAAAAAATTGCATCTGTACCGAACATGTGCAGACTTTTTTCTTGTCATTATTCCCTAAACAATACACTGTAGCAACTATTTACATAGCATTTACATTTTATTAAGTATTATAAGTAATCTAGAGATGATTAGAGCATACAGAAGGATGTGCATAGGTTATATGCAAATACTATGACATTTTATGTCAGGAACTTGAGCATCATTGGATTTGCAATAGGCCCTGGAACTCCTTCATGGCTACTGAGGGATGACTTTAATGTGAAATACATAAAGGGGTAAATATAAATACAGGTACTCAGATGAGGAGAATCTGGCTTACCAGCAGACATTTAGTAAAAACATGAGAATTTCATTGCCTGACATCTCAGTGTAAGCCAGCAATGGCGATGGTTGCCCGAAGAACAGTTTATCTTGGAAGAATAGAACTGTGTTGTCCAAAATAAAGCAGTTGCCTTTTCCTCACCTCCACTAGTCGGACCACAGCTAGATTATTATGTTTTTTTTTTTGTTTTTTTTTTTTTTTTCTTTTGAGACAGAGTCTCACTTTGTTGCCCAGGCTAGAGTGAGTGCCGTGGCGTCAGCCTAGCTCACAGCAACCTCAATCTCCGGGGCTCAGCGATCCTTCTGCCTCAGCCTCCCGAGTAGCTCGGACTACAGGCATGTGCCACCATGCCCGGCTAATTTTTTTTGTTTTGTATATATATTTTTAGTTGGTCAATTACTTTTCTTTCTATTTTTGGTAGAGACGGGGTCTCGCTCAGGCTGGTTTCGAACTCCTGACCTTGAGCAATCCGCCCGCCTCGGCCTCCCAAAGTGCTAGGATTACAGGCGTGAGCCACCGCGCCCGGCCGGATTATTATGTTTTTTAAGCAGCTTTATTGAAATATAATTGACATACAATAAATTGCACATACTTACACAATTTTATAAACTGACATAGGCATACACCCATGAAACTAAAACCAAAATCAAGATAATGAATTGTACCACAAATTTCGTTGTGCTCTTTTATAAATCCTTTCTCTTGTTCCTTCCTACTCCTCTCTCTCCTTGCCCACAGGAAACCACTTATCTGATTTCTGTCACTATAGGTTAGTTTGCATTTTGTAGAATTTTATTAAAATAGAATCATAGTATGTCTTCTTTTCTTGTCTATTTTTTTCCACTTAGCATTATTTTGAGAGTTTTTTATATTATTATGTCTCTCAATAGTTCATTTTTTATTGCTAAATAGTATTCCATAGTATGAATATGCCACCATTTCTTTATCTGTTCACCTGTCGTTGGAGATTTCTGGTTGTTTCCAGGTTTTGTCTTACTACAAACACAGCTACTATGAACATTCTGTACAAGTGTTTGTATGGACATATGCTTTCATTTCTCTTGGGTAAATAGCTAGTAGTGGAATGGCTGGATCATACGGTAGGTATGTGTAACTTTTCAAGAAATTGCCAAACTGTTTTCCCTAGTGATTATACCATTTGACATTCCCACCAGCTGTATTTGAGTGTTCCAGTTCCTCCTGACTTCTTAGGATTAATCCTTTCAATTTCAGCCATTGGAATAGGTATATGGTGGTATTTCATTGTCCTTTTAATTTGCATTTCCCTAGTAATTATGATGTTGAGCATCTTTTCATGTGTAACTGTGCTGTTCACACATAATCTTTGCTAAAATGTCTGTATTTTCTCCTCATTGTTTACGGGATACCTTTTGTCAGTATTTATTTACAGGTGACACACATTAGAACATTAGATTAAACATCTACAGTTGGTTTTTTTTTCTTTCTCTTTTAGAGATGAGGTCCGGCTTTGTCACCGGGACTGGAGTGCAGTGGCACAATTGTAGCTCACAGCAGCCTTGAACTCCTGGGCTTAAGCGATCCTCCTGCCTCAGCCTCCCAAGTAGCTGGGACTACACGTGCCACCCATGCCCAACTAACTCAAAAAATTTCCTAAAAGCAATAAAGTCATAACAAGGTAACATATGCATGGAGAAATATGAAAAAGGTATGACAGACTACTTTGTGATATAGCAAAATTTAAGGGTTGATTATATAAATTCAAGTATTAAATCCACTTTTTTTTTTTTTAATTTCTTTTTCTGGAGAGTGTCATTCTTGTTGCCCAGGCTAGAGTGCCGTGGCGTCAGCCTAGCTCACAGCAACCTCAAACTCCTGGGCTCAAGCAATCCTCCTGCCTCAGCCTCCCGAGTAGCTGGGACTATAGGCATGCACCACCATGCCCGGCTAATTTTTTTTTGCCTATATATTTTTAGTTGGCCAATTAATTTCTTTCTATTTATAGTAGAGACGGGGTCTCGCTCTTGCTCAGGCTGGTCTCGAACTCCTAAGTTCAAACAGTCCACCCGCCTCGGCCTCCCAGAGTGCTAGGATTACAGGCATGAGCCACTGCACCTGGCCTAAATCCACTTTTTTTAATCATTAGCTGACAGAACCATCTCAACTCAGATTGGCTAGTCCCTACGTCACTTCCAAAATTAAGAGTACTGGCGGTTGTATGTTAGAACTTGCTTAAACTGGCTTACAAGTGCCAATTAAAAAATTTTTAAGAATTTTACAGGCTGACTATTAAACACAGCCATTATTAAAAAATAATTATATAAACTGACAATTATTAATATATTAAATTCCAGTGTATGAGACTCGATAATACTTAAAATCACTTCCTAATCATTCTACTATAGACATACTTTATTTCATTGTACTTCATTTTTTTTTTTTTTTTTTTTTGAGACAGAGTCTCACTCTGTTGCCCAGGCAAGAGTGAGTGCCGTGGCGTCAGCCTGGCTCACAGCAACCTCAATCTCCGGGGCTCAGCGATCCTACTGCCTCAGCCTCCCGAGTAGCTGGGACTACAGGCATGCGCCACCATGCCCGGCTAATTTTTTGTATATATATTTTTAGTTGGTCAATTAATTTATTTCTATTTTTGGTAGAGACAGGGTCTCGCTCAGGCTGGTTTCGAACTCCTGACCTTGAGCAATCCTCCTGCCTCGGCCTCCCAAAGTGCTAGGATTACAGGCGTGAGCCACCACGCCTGGCCCAGTGTACTTCATTTTATTGCATGTCACAGATACTGCATTTTTTACAAATTGAAGGTTTGTGGGAACCCTGAATCAAATTATTGGTGCTAATTTTGCAACAGTGCGTGCTCACTTTGTTAGCATTGTTTTTTAAATTGAAGCATGCACTTTTTTAGACATAATACTATTGCACAATTAATAGACTATAATGTAAACATAACTTATATATGCACTAGGAAATGAAAAAAATTCATGTGACTCACTTCACTGTGATAATGGCTTTATTACAGTGGTCTGGAACCAAAACTGCAGTATCTCCAAAGTATGCCTGTACATTTTACTGTTATCCATGTTTTTGTGGTTTCATCTGTGTATCCACATGGTAGAAGTATTATATGACAGTTTGATAGTGTGTACCTCTTGCCGACTCTGCGTTCAGTGATGTCCTTATGTAGCTTGACACAGTACCACAGTAGGAGCACTTGCCCCAGGGAACTCTGTAAACACCACACATCAGAGCTGCCCCCACCAAAGCTAGTTGTTAAACATTCACCAGCACACCAGTGATGACAGGGCCCTTCAAACTGTATGACTAGTGTCCATAATGAATAATTGAGCCTTTAGTTACATGGAGAATTCAAGTTCATGAAACAACTACTTAAGAAGAGGGAAATATTTTTGCTGTAAAATAAAGCTTATAACATCTATTTTCCTTGGGCTCGATTTTTTCCTTACTTCCAGGTTCCCTAAGGTTATGAAAGCCAAAGTCTGACTACTAGATAAGGGGGGATACGGATACCTTATTTCTGTGGTCCCAAGTGAAAACATAACATATATCATTTGGAGTAGAGCTAGAAAAGGTGTTAAATATATAAAAATGTGCTAGGCAAAAAAAAAAAAAAAAAACCACCAAAAACCAAAAAACTCTATGCAACCATAATTCTGCATAACTAAAATTCTATTCATTTATATAAGGGGAAAGAAGATTAAAATGAGAGGGAGCAAAATATGATACAAGAGGAGTGTTTGTTCTAACCCCCAAAACAGCTTTTTAATGGATTAAGCACATTTTGTCCAAAGTTACCAAAGATCCTGGGTGTTATTAGGAATTTAAGTTCCTGGGTAGATTCAGTAAAATCCTACAGCAGTCCAGAGAAAACCAAATAAACTCTCGGGGAAAGTTTTTTTAGTGTAAATGAAACTGCTAAGGTTTAGTGTCCTTTACAATTTATATAATTTATTAAAAGTATTAGGAGAAACTAAAGATTTCTTACATATTAGGGTCTTCTAAATGAAAAGCATATACATTTAAAATGTAAAAAAAACATGCATATGACTTTCAATAAGGTATTTGATTATGTCCCTTTTCCTTTGTTACCCAGCTCACCTATTAATCTGCTCTGTTGTGGCAAAGAACACAATTGTCCTCCGATGTCCTTTCTCCTCCTCTTCCATTAGTATCAGAAACCCCAAATTTTAGCTGGGTACATTGCTACACAGGTGAAGACTTTATTTCCTTGCACTCCCTTGAAGATCTGGCCAAGTAACCACATTTTGGCGCATAGGACATAAGTGGAAATGATGGCTACAACTTCTGTAATATGATCTTAAAAAGAAGAGGTATACTCTTTTTCTGTTTCCCATTCTCAAATACATCATGGTAAGGAGCTGGAACTGCTGTATTACTTAGGCCATGATATAGAAAGCCATATGCTGAGTTTAGCAGAAGCTAGAAGTAGCTTCAATTCCTAGCACCCAAACTGCCTTGTTAGTCCTGAACTGATTATTCCCGGAATATGAGAGAAAAATTTCATCTTAAGTCATTACTATTTTGGCCTTAGAGCAATCAAACCTATATCCCAAGTAATAAGTGTTTTCTACATTCTCCCATATAATTATATATATATGTATATGTGTATACATCTACAAATATAAATATTTTTGAGTATGCCCACAAACAAATATATATGCAAACATTTATGCATGTTGATATTTGTTTTACAGACTAGAATCCTATGTTTTTCTCCATCTTTTCATGTAGCAATATCTGTGGAAATCACAACTTAATTCATGCAACTTTAATTCACTCCTTTTGAAAGCTATATAATATTTTCCTCCTTTTCGAAAGTGGTTTATTTTTTTTTTATTTCAGCATATTACGGGGGTACAAATGTTTAGGTTACCCATATTGCCCTTGCGTCACCTGAGTCAGAGCTTCAAGCATGTCCATCCCCCAGACGGTGAGCACCGCACCCATTAGGTGTGAATATGCCCAACCCCTCCTCCCCCTCCCATCTGCCCGACACCCGATGAATGTTATTACTATATGTGCACTTAAGTGTTGATCAGTTAGTACCAATTTGATGGTGAGTACATGTGGTGCTTATTTTTTCATTCTTGTGATACTTCACTTCGAAGGATGGGCTCAAGCTCTATCCAGGATAATACAACAGGTGCTAGATTACCATTGTTTTTTGTGGTTGAGTAGAACTCCATGGTGTACATATACCACATTTTATCCATCCACTTATGTATTGATGGGAACTTGGGTTGTTTCCACATCTTTGCAATTGTGAATTGTGATGCTATGAACATTCTAGTGCAGATGTCTTTTTTATAGAGTGTCTTTTGTTCTTTTGGGTACATGCCCAGTAATGGGATTGCTGGATCAAATGGTAGTTCTACTTGTATCTCTTTGAGGTATCTCCATATTGCTTTCCACAGAGGTTGCACTAGTTTGCAGTCCCACCAGCAGTGTAGGAGTGTTCCTATTGCTTGGCATCCACGCCAGCATTTATTGTTTTGGGACTTTCTGATAAAGGCCATTTTCACTGGGGATAAGCGATATCTGATTGTGGTTTTGATTTCCATTTCCCTGATTAGAGATGTTGAGGATTTTTCGTATGTTTGTTAGCCATTAGTCTATCTTCTTTTTTTATTATTATTATCATTTTAACTTTTTTTAAATTTTAACATATTATGGGGGTACAAGTGTTAAGGTTACATATATTGCCCATGCCTCCCTTCCCCTCAAGCAAGAGCTTCAAGCATGTCCATCCCCCAAACGTTGCACCTCTTACTCATTGTGGTTGTATATACCCATCACCTCCTCCCCCCTCCCACCCTCCCAACACCCGATAAATGTTACTCCTATATGTCCACTTAGGTTTTGTTTTGTTTTGTTTTGTTTTGTTTTGTTTTGTTTTGTTTTGTTTTGTTTTGAGACAGAGTCTCACTTTGTTGCCCAGGCTAGAGTGAGTGCCGTGGCATCAGGCTAGCTCACAGCAACCTCAATCTTCTGGGCCCAAGCGATCCTTCTGCCTCAGGCTACCGAGTAGCTGGGACTACAGGCTTGAGCCTGGACCATGTCTGGCTAATATTTTTTGGTATATATATTTTTAGTTGTTTAATTAATTTCTTTCTATTTTTGGTAGAGACAGGGTCTTGCTCAGGCTGGTTTCAAACTCCTGACCTTGAGCGATCCACCCATGTCGGCCTCCCAGAGTGCTAGGATTACAGGCGTGAGCCACCACGCCCGGCCTGTCCACTTAGGTGTTGATCTGTTAATACCAATTTGCTGGTGAGTACATGCAGTGCTTGTTTTTCTATTCTTGAGATACTTAGTAGAATGGGTTCCAGCTCTATCCAGGAATATACAAGAGGTGCTATATCACCATTGAGTCTATCTTCTTTTCAAAAGTTTTTGTTCATGTCCTTTGCTCACTTTTTGATAGGGTTGTTTGATTTTTTTCTTGCTGATTTTCCTTAGTTCTATATAGATTCTAGTTCTCAGCCA